CTGACATAGAGTCACAGCCAAGAAAACGTAACATCGTGAATACTGACATTTATTAATTCAGAAGACTGTAAAAGATCAATTAGAGATTTGTGTAACAGAAAGGTGTCCAGAGGAGAAAAATAATAATCTACCACCCCTGTCCTCTTTCCCCCTTCCTTCACAGGGGAAGCAAGGTCAGTTCGAACCTCAGAGGTGTGATCTGTCTGCAAGAGACACACTGAGCAGCTAGAGTGTCTGTTTATTCTTATGGGATCTGGGGACATCTCTTTTTCTTTCTACACATTCTGCTTTTATGACTGTAGCAAGAAAGGGCATAAAAAAAGTGACAGCAGTTGTAGATAAACAAATATTGTCATGTCTTTCCTTCTGCCTGTGAAACAAATCTAAAAAGCGGGTTCCTTTGACACTGACCAAGTTACTGACCAAAAAACTTTTTCAACAATAGGCAGATATTTCAGATTTTTTACCCAGTAATTAAGTCTCAAATACTACAGTGACCAGAACTCCTTGAAGGCGATTTGAGAATCTCAGTTGTCTTAGCCCAATGAGCCTTTTTTTTAAAGGGTTGTCAAGTACTTTAGCACAAATGCAGTCTCAAGAGAGTCAACTTTAGTGACAGAATTTGTTTTCATTGATTGTAGCAATGGATGTAAAGAAAATGGCACTAAAAGCAGTTGTAGCTGTAAAAAAATTATTAAAAGGTTTTTTTCCTTTAAGATAGTTTGAATCTGATCTGATTGCTCAGTTCTATGCTGCTAGTAAATTACAGTCATTCACTACTTCCAGTGGAGGTCTAAGAAGGACTGTTTAATGAAGAGAAGGACGAGGGGTGACATGATGGCTGTGTTCCAGGATCTCAGGGGCTGCCACAAAGAAGAGGGAGTCAAGCTATTTTCCAAGGCGCCTGAAGGCAGGACAAGAAGCAACGAGTGGAAACTAATCAAGGAGAGAAGCAACCTAGAACTAAGGAGAAACTTCCTGACAGTTAGAACAATTAACCAGTGGAACAACCTGCCTCCAGAAGCGGTGAATGCTCCAACACTGGAAGTTTTTAAGAAGAGACTGGACAGCTATTTGTCTGAAATGGTATAGGGTTTCCTGCCTGAGCAGGAGGTTGGACTAGATGACCTCCAAGGTCCCTTCCAACTCTATTATTCTGTTAAAATCACCATTTATACTTAAAAACTATTACAGAGCAAGCCATTAATCAGCCACAAGGCACAGAAAGACTCCTGTGTAGGAGTGTACAAAATGGTTTGAAGTCCAAATGGTTTGTGTTTGAAATGCTGGGCTTGAGATTCACTGCAGGTATTCCAACCATTCCTTCCTAAGAAGCATTTTGAGGTGGAAATGGCCTGAGCCTGAAGAGAGAGATTTCTTTGAGTGTGTGACACTTCCAATAGAATTGAAACAAGCCTTTGTGAACTCAAGGTCACTATTTCAGCAGTTGTTCTAAAGCATGTTGGCAGGCCTAAGAATTTCAGTCCAGACTGTGGCAACTCTAAAGCAACAAGATCATACAAGTGAAAGTTCAACTCTTGATTTTTTTCCCCCCAAAAGCAGAAGGGTCACAATCAGATCTTTGTGAACATTATCCAAAGTAGCCGATATAAACAAAGTACATCTTACTATTGTACATAACACATTTTTACAATAAAAATGAACTATTTTCATGGTTTTTAAAGCAATTTGATGCAGGAACAGGGTATTCAAGTTCATTATTTTTGAAGTTTCATCAATTATTGATATACTTTTTTCAGCTTCTTATGAAGACCAGTTTCTTGATACATACTGTATGTCGAGCGAGAGAAAATCCTAAAAAAGGATTGAAATTAGTAACAAACGCTCCCCCCCTCCACAAAGTAACTCTTGGAAAGTCAACCTGCATTCACAATTCTACAACCTCTATAAATGATATGTATGAAACCCAAATTATAGAGAGTTCTTTCATACTCTGGATTTCATAGGTATCTTTTAGAGTCTTTTTTTTTAATTGATTGATTGCATGATTAATTTAGTTCCATAAAAGGAGAGATGAAGGGTTAAAACCACTATCCACACATCTCTGAATCACATGAAGAGGATGCTGTAGTGTGTGTGTGTTTTTTTTTAAAATCAATTTATTTCTACCTTTCTATTTGCAATAAGGGCACTACAGATAGGATTGCTAAACCCTCCCAAAGTAATGGAGTCTAAAAACTGACAGGCTGACCCTGGAATGCCAAATAGATAGCTTTGCCATCACTGTTGGCAAAATTATTGGCAGTTTCCTTCCCTTTTCACAGCTGCAGGAACAGTGGATCACTGTTTTTTAATTTTAATTTGGTTTTTAGATATTTATTGTATAGCTCTGTTTTTACTTACCTGTAAGCCGCCCTGAGTCCCTCGGGAGAAGGGCGGGGTATAAATTAAAGTATTATTATTATTATTATTATTATTATTATTATTATTATTATTATTATTATTATTATTATTATTATTATTATTATTATTATTATCACAAACAGTTAAAATTTTGTTTTAACTATTGTTTGGTATGAGAAACATGACAATATAGGAATGACATTGTTTCTCCTTGTATGAAAAACAATCCATGTGCTTAATTTAAACTGTTTGGTTTCCAACAGGGGCTAATAGCATCTCTCTTTTTTTCTGTTTCCTGTATTCTAGTTGTCTTCTTTTCCCCGTTCTTTTCTGGTCCTTTCCCTTCCTAACCTGCCCTCACCCACCCATGTTTTCTTGGCTCTGTTATATGGAAATAGTCCATCAAGTCTTTACTTGCCTTCTGCTAGAATGTTGTTTTTCAAACTTGGCAACTTTAAGATGTGTGGACTTCAACTCCCAGAATTCTCCAGACAGCTGAAGTCCACACATCTCAAACTTACCAGGTTTGAAGAAACATCTCTTGAGAAGTCTCTTAACAGCAGAACCAGGACAGGTAACACCCGTAAGGGCTCCAGGATAGACCCTCTCCAATCTAAAGAGGTTTACCCTTGGCAGCACCTTAATGTCCAGATTCTTGATGTGTCTGAAGAAAAACATTTCTCTTAATGTAAGTGCAAGGGAGGCTGAGGTCAACATTCAATATCCCAACAATCTAATTTGAATCGCTTTGTAATTATTATATTAGCTGAGTGACACTCCCTCCACTTTCAAAATCATTCATTCTAAAAAAAAGTCAGAGAGATGTCTTAAATTACTGCTGCCCATCTGTGATGTGTTTTTAAATTAGATTACTGCACTTAATCAGAATCTCTCCCCACAAGATTTCACAGTCTGCCAAGACAAAGTTGCTTATGCTGAAAAATGATTGGGAAGAGGTTTACTGTAAGTCTTGTCTCGTGATGTGTTTCTCTGATATTTTGGGGCTAAAATGAATGCTCTGGCCTGAGATAAGACAGGTGTTCCTAAACCTGGCAATACTGCACTCTTTACCATAAAACAGGGGTCTTCAAACTTGGCAACTTTAAGATTTGTGGACTTCAACTCCCAGAGTTCCTCAGCCAGCTAAGGCTGGCTGAGGAACTCTGGGAGTTGAAGTCCACAAGTCTTTAAAGTTGCCAAGTTTGAAGACCCCTGCCATAAAAGAACCTGAATGACCTAACTCCTGAATGAAATCAATCAATAAGTTGATAAATAATAAATAAAACTAGTATGATGGGGAAATGGTCCCATCACATGATTTAGATCCATGTCGGTTGCCATCTCTCAGAACTCACTCGTCTTTGTTCCCGAGATGAGATAAATAGAAAAACCAGATAGAGTTTTTGTGATGATTATACACAAGAGTCTGTGGGAATGGTCTTGGGAGAGCAGGAGGAAAAGCCACAGACTAGACAGTTGTCATGCAAAAGGCATCTCAATCCATAGAAACAAAGAGGGCTTGGCTTGCAAGATTGATGTTAGTCCCATGAGAAACATATAGTTCTCAAGTTACGACTTTAATGAAGCCCGCCCATTACAGTAGTAAATCGTAACAGTCATAAATAAAATGGCTTTTTTTGCTATGGTCATTATGCAAACTCCACAATCGTAACTACAAACACCATGATCGTAAGTGCAAATACCACCGTTGTTAAATGAACCCATTGTTTCCTATGGTGCTGTTTTGCCAAAAAAACAGAAGTAACTACCAGTTTTCAGCAAAACCATCATAAAACACAGTCAAATGACCATGGGACGCTGCAAATAGCCATCAATGCACCTAGAGTGCAGACAGGTGACCATGGGCTGACCATCGGAACTTTGAATCCGGGTCATAAGTCCCCTTTTCAGGTTAGGTCAGGGGCAGGCAACCTTGGCTCTTTTATGACTTGTGGACTTCAACTCCCAGAATTCCTGAGCCAGCATGGCTCAGCTTGGAAACCTCTCCCTTTCCCCTCAGCGTGGCTGGCTCAGGAATTCTGGGAGTTGAAGTCCACGAGTCATAAAAGAGCCAAGGTTGCCTAACCCTGGGTTAGGTCATATGTCAAGGACTATCTGTAGTCCAGATAAGAAGCACAACCAGGATTATTAGCTCTATCCTTATTGTAAGGCTACATTAACAAATCTTGCAAATCTGAAAATATCTTTTCCCTTCTTTATTTTTACTCTCTGGAAAACTAGGGAGGGTCCCTTCTGAGACAGTTCCCACATCTCCTTTTGTTTTTGTGGACTGAAATACCTTTGGCATGGTAGTTGTCTAGGTTGAGAGTCTTCCTCCTGTGTCCCATGGTCGGAGAAATAAAAAATGAAATGGCCCATACCGTATGCATTATTTCCTTATAATCAAATGAGTTGAATCAAATATGTTCATGCTGATTTCTGTACTATCTAGAACTTTGTGGATACTTCCTGAAAGAGAGGCTCACGAGGATTAACAAGGGAAAGGAGAAATGTTGATAAGCTAAGCGTTAACTCTGCACTTGCTTAATTTGACGCTAATTAGAATTTTCTCAGATGCACAAAGTCTCTTTTCCATGTTGGGACAAATTATTAATAGTCACTTTATCTGTCTGCAGTGTAAATGGAGATGTCCGTTTCTTTGATCCAAGAATGCCAGAATCAGTAAAGGTCCTCCAGATAGTCAAAGGATTAACAGCTTTGGACATTCACCCCCAAGCCAACTTATTTGCATGGTAAGATCTAAAGGTTTTCAGCCAAGCAGCTTTTTTTGTGCCTCCAGAAATCAAAGGAAAGAATTACCTTACTCTTAAAGACACTTCAGTTTCTTTTTCTTAATTAAGCATATCGTATCCGAATTGCAAACATCTGAGTTTTATGTACCTCTTTGTTACCATCTAATATAATCATCTCCTTTTTGCAGCTCGTAATACATTTTTACTTTTGATATAAATAATGTATCTTATTTCATTTGCTTTGTGAAGCTGTGTTTTATCTCTTAAAATTTTCCTTAAACTTCGCTTTCGTTCAACTCTTTGAAGAAGCATTTTCTTTATTGAGATTAGTCAACAGCTTATATCAAATTTCATCCGTGGGCTACTTGAGTTATCAAATCAAACCATCCCAACGTTGCACGTTCCATTCCTATACTTGTGACTTCAGTTGGGCATCTCCATCTTTTGCTACAAGATTGTTTTTGGACAAGGTTATGTTGAAAATTCAAATAGATTTTTTTTAAAAAAAATATCTCTTGGCTGGTATGAGAAGTCTTGGAATCCATGGTAGATTAACAGAGCAGAAAAAGTCTGCTCAGCTATTGGAAGATTAATGTTGTTCTCTTTTACTTTGCAGCGGTTCTATGAATCAGTTCACTGCTATCTACAATGGGCATGGTGAGCTGATCAACAATATCAAGTATTACGATGGATTTATGGGCCAGAGAGTAGGTGCGATCAGCTGCCTAGCTTTTCACCCACACTGGGTCAGTCTCCTTTCCTCACTTCTCTTGTAGAACCGAATATGTTTTTAAAAGGGGTTTTAAAAGGAGAATTGGTAAAGATAACCAGAGGGCATAGCATTAATTATAATTTTATAATTTATAAATAGCATTGTAATTATTAATTTAATTTTGAGTTTCTGTCCTAGGAAAACTTTGTTCCAAATATACACATACCTATACTAACGGTTCATTTCATCAAATGCCATTTCTATTATTAGAACATGATTCTCAAATTCTTTCAAGGCCTGATTAAATGGAAAACCTCACTCGTTTAACATGTGAGAATATTTATGAGCAACTTTTGTGCATTTTTTTTAAATGTTAAGTAAAACCCAGTCCACAATTATGAGGCCACCTGAACTTGTCAATGTTCCTGATCTTTCAGTCCACCTGGTGCATGTTTTGTTTAGTGACGTGGATGAAGCTTGAGCCCACATCCACAGGAGGCTTTCTATAAATTAGATGAGCTCGTGGCTACCTTGTGTATATGTCTGTTTTTAACATGCCACCTTTTCCCCAACTCTGGAGAGGTTCCTAGCAATTTTCTGGACCTCAGTTCAGAAAACCAGATAAAGTAGATGTTTCCCTGCTTTCTGAATCGCCCTGGGTTGAACTGTAGGCATGAGATTCGCCCTCCATTCACACTGAGACAGAGAAGGAGGGATTGCCTCTGCAGTAGTACCAGATAAAACTGATGAAACAAACTGCCTTTGGTCCTACAGTCAATCCCTTCCCCTTTGTAGGAAGAGGAAGGTTCTTGCTAAGCACAAATTTTGGCCAGATCCTGAAGTTGAAACTCAAGTACTTTGGCCACCTAATGAGAAGGAAGGACTCACTGGAGAAGGGCCTAATGCTGGGAAAGATTGAGGGCAATAGAAGAAGGAGATGACAGAGAATGAGGTGGCTGGATGGAGTCACTGAAGCAGTAGGCGTGAGCTTAAATGGACTCCAGAAGATGGTAGAAGACAGGAAGGCCTGGAGGAACGTTGTCCATGGGGTCGCGATGGGTCGGACACGACTTCGCAACTAACAACAACAACAACCTCTACCTGTGTATATAATATACATTTTTTTTTCTTTTTGTATCCACAGCCTCATCTGGCAGTTGGGAGCAATGACTACTACATCTCTGTCTACTCGGTAGAGAAACGAATCAGATAACAGCGTGTGACTGGTTTGTCAGGGCTGGACATCTTCTGGCAGGCAAAACCATGCCTCACTTACGATGTACATAGTGAAAATATGACTTGAATGTTAGTGTTGGCTGCTCCTGCTGCTGCTGCTGCTGCTGTGCAACCCCATAACTTGAACATTTTTTTTTTCTTCCTGTCTTGGCTACTGATGATTCAGTGTCAGAGGGGAGGGAGAGAAGCGTGGTCTTCTTCGTAGCCAGGACTTCCAGGAACGATTGGAAAAGGAGAATTTAAATTTTCAGTGAGTTCCACCGCCGCCGCCGCCACCACCACCACTACTAATGACTGCTTCTCTGGTTGTTTAAACTTCTTCTCGGAAGAGGGATGGGGTTTTTTTTCTTCTAAATCAGGAATGAATTCTGAACATACCTACTGTTCCACGTGTTCTTCCTAGAAAGTCTGTGGCTGCTACCTGTTTTGTGCCAAGTGCTGCCCTGGCAGTTGCATGCTAGCAGGTTGCCTGATTTGGATAGTCCATGCGTATCTTTCCACTCTGTGTGCCACTGGCCATCTCTGTCATTCCCTGTCCTGCCGGAGACAAGAAAAAAAAAATTAATGAGAATCTTAAGGGAGAGAGAGAGAGAGAATGTTAATGCTGCAGATAATAGAGTTGGCTGCCACTCTGGAAGGGAAAACAGGAAACTACCCCAGTTTCTGTGGTGTTCGTTGGAAAACGGGTGTACATCCGAGTAGCTACGTGAAAAAGCATTACAGGGCAAGAGACCTTCCCCTTTTATGCCTTCTCCATCCTTAAGCAGTGACCCTCTGCTCCTTTTACTCATGGTAGAACCCCTTAAGCACAAGAAATGGCCTGCTACCTCTGCATAGACAATAAAGATTTCACTTATTGTACCACTGCCTTAAATCCGCCCTCCCTCCCCAGTTCTGTTTTACGGAAGTGCTATTGATCAGCTTAGTAATGGATGCAGGTCCTTGCAGCAGGCCTAAGGCCAGTGCCCCCGTAGGAGTCCTTTCTCTGCTTCAGACACTTGCGCCGTGGCAAGCTCTGTACGTGCCCAGGACTTTTATATTTGCAAGGGCACGTGATCACTGCAAAGAACAGTTGATTTCCCATGAACTGGCCAAACCTAAGAGAAAAATAATCTCACGTAGGAAACTGCCTCAGTAGCTTAAGAATCAGAAGGCCTTCCTTGAATGGTGTGAATTGTGCCTGAATTGTGTTAATTCTTCTGGCATTGGCTCCAAGGGCAGATGTCCACAAAGCTGTGGAGAAGCGTGAAAGAGAACTCTTGCGACCATGAAGAGCAGGGAGCCATCCTCTTCATCTTCTCTGTGATGGAACTGAGCGTTATCCACCTCCTTACCTTCTCATTATGAAGGCTGCTTTCTGCATAGTTTGCTAGCTGAGAGCCATTGCCCAAGCTGCAAAATTAGTGATGGAAATGAATAAGTGGTGATTTTATACACCAGTTTGCTGATTCGAGTGTCAGCTCTGCTGGAACATTTAATCTTTGTCTCCCCTCTCCTCCTTACCTCCCCCCCCCCCCGTTGCCATGCCTGTCCCTCCCCAAGTGGCATTTAACTCAGGGAAGGTTAAATAGTTGATTGTGCTCCTAAGCATCAAGCCAGAGTCTGGGATCCATTTATAACTGACTTAACCTACACAATTAAATGAGAATATGATTATTATTATTTTTTGGGGGTAACCTATATCCGATGTGTTTATTTCAAGAACAAGATTCCTCGTGCTTCCTCTCAGCTTGCCTAGCCAGGAACTAAGGCTATGGTAGTCTTTCTTTCAAATGGCATCGTTTTTTGTTTTTGTTTGTTTTTGAAACAGAGAGCTGTGCTTTTTTTTTCTTTTTTCTTTTTTTTTCAAAGATCTGAGATGGTGATCCAATCATGAAGTTTAACTAAAAACTCCAGAAAGCCTCCAGCTTAACAGAGTTCACTTCTCTATTTATTTTCAGGAAAATGAAAAGGAATAATAAACCACCAGACGATTGTAATGTAAGAGTAAAGCAATTAATGAAATATATGTTAATAAAATGTAAATGCCAGAAGAAGCCCTGGTCGTTAGGGTTCCCTGTTGTTTTGATGCCCCGAAAGAAACCCGGGGAAGGGACGGGGAGGAGATGATAGCTCCCCTTTCTTGGGCAGAAGAGAGAAGAAGGTAAGGCCTCTCTGCTGCCTTGACATTTCTACCATTTCTATTCTTTGATTTTCAAAGCGGGTGGGCAGAAATGGTGTCTATGTATCTAGGTGTGTGAATGTATATGTGTGTGTCAGCCTGGAAAAATTGCCTGGCTCCTGATTGCCTGTGATCTACAGCTCGCTCTAGAGAAGAAACAGCAAACAGAGAAAAGAAATGAGTATAGGTGAACCCAATAACTCCCAATCTCTGCCTGCCTTGACATATCTGGCGCTTGCAACAATATTTCAACCTTTCAGGTGTGGTAAAAACTAAAATTAGGTTTTGGGGAAAGTGCGATATTGAGGAGAAATAGACTACCATTTAGTTTTTGTTGCTTCTGGGAACGACACAATAGAGTTTCTTACCTTTTCCGTAGTTAAAAAAAAAAGTATAAACATTGCCCCAAATTAAAGCATGTGAATTTGAAAAAACAAAATCAGTAACCTAGGTGAATCTCAGATGAGAGTGCTACCAACTAGGTATGCTTCTCGGTCTTGTACGCAGCCCTCAGGATGACAGAAGTTTTCCTCTCTTTTTTTTTTTTTACATTTTTTAGTAAAGTATTGCATTTAGTAAGGCGTTGGCTCTAAATGCGACTTGCATTCTGCCCTCTCCACCTTTACGAGAAGAAGCTACGGGTGCGATCAAGCCTCTGATCACATTTTGTGATGAATATAAACTAGTATTTTATTTGTAATGCTAATTAAAAGTTTAATGCAGGTAGTCTTGTGTCACATTCAAAAAGTTGGAGAGATTGTAGTTCAAGCACTATTTTGTGTATCATGCTTTATTGTATAAAGTAGCCCAAGCTCTACTTTTTCTAACATATAAAGGACAACACAAGACATTCCTGTTCTCATTTTCATATAGAAATTAAGAGGATTGTGAGAATCGGTTTATGACCTTTCACAACCTGATGCACTGAAGATGTGTGGGATTGTAATTCCAATTATCTGCAGCCAGCAAAGTGTGTTGAGAAGCAGCTTTTGTAGATGCTGTTTTTAAATGCCTCTCCCTTTCTTTAGTACAGTAAGAGTAATACTGATCAATATTAATATGATTGATATAAAGGTTGCAGAGACCATCGAAGTGCTTTGAAATCTCTAAAACCAACATACAAATTAGGGCACATTTTTCTCTTCCTCGAGATGGGGTGCATTGTTATTTCTCCCATTTTATAATAATAATAATTAATAAAGTTGGAAGGGACCTTGGAGGTCATCTAATCCAACCCCCTGCTCAGGCAGGAAACCTTATACCGTTATCTTTGTAACAACTATGTTACAACAATGTCACAGATATTGACTGGCCCTCAGGGTCACTCAGAAACATTGACTAAGTGGGTTTTTGCTTGAAGCTGACTGGCAGCTTTCTAAAATATTGTTTCACTAGGCTGGGCAAAACATGCTGTGCTTGGATCATTCTGTGTTCAGAACAGCCAGATCTGTGCAAGGACTGAGGCATGCACGGTCTGTCTGAATGTGCAGAATGCGTGCATTTGGAACACCCTGGAAAACTGAGGAAAAGACGAAGCCACCTGTGAGGAAAGAAGCTGGTGGAAAAATTGGGGAAGAGAGGCAGCAGCATAAGCCAATCGGATACACAATGGTTGAATTCAACTCTAGCTGTAGTTAAGGCAAGAAAGATACTGCCAAGATTGGTGAGCAGACACACAGGAGTCAGGTGGAAGAGAGGGGCCCAAGTCACACCAACCTTACTGTACTTGCCCCACAAGACCCTCCAGAATCTGTTTTGATTGACACCTGCAATAACTGAGCTGTTTCAGAATTCAATTAACTGAACTCTTATGACCTGCATAGCATAATTCAGCGGAGGGTCCAAATCAAAATGTGGGTTTTCCATCCACAAACACATTTTTTTTTCTTTCATGCATACTTTCACTCAGGCAATAGGAAAAAGGAATGTAACTGTGAAAGTGAAATCTGTAATAGGAATCCAATCAGTACGTAGGAATCTAGTCTGAAATGGAAAATAACAGATTGATCATGAAGGGGATTTTAGCTTTTTTTAAAATACATAACAGGTAGTCGTCGACTTACGAATACAACTGAGCCCAAACTTTCTGTTGCTAGGCAAGACAGTTATTAAGTGAATTTTGGCCAAAGTTATGACCTTTCTTGCTACAGTTCTTACTGCAGTTGTTAAGTTAATACAGTAACACAGTTGTTAAGTGAATCTGGCTTCCATGAGGCAATGGTCGTAAGTGTGAAAAATGGTCATAAGTTACTTTCTTCAGTGCTGTTGTAACTTGAAGCAATCACTAAATGAACGTTATAAGTTGGGGACTGTCTATAGTATTCTTTGCCTATCAAAAAAAACAATTCTTACCAATTTAAGTTGCAACCTTGGTTCAGTGGTGTTGATATATAAAACGTTTCCTGATCAGAATGACCACAGCCTCTGGATTGTGAGGGAAAGGCCATACAACAAATGCAAAGTAGGTATGCTGCTTAATTTGATTTTAAATCAACCCTGGCCTGGCAAATTGCTTGCAAAGAGTGTTATGAATGGAGGTGCGGCAGGATAAAAAGTCTCCCATGCAAATATTGTCAATGAAATGCCGCCACAATAAAGAACAAAAGACAAATATATTCGTCAAGCTTGTCTGAAGCTTTTTAAAATTAATTGACATGGTGATTTGCTATGTCTTACTGGAAGTAGTTACCATGGGAACTATAAATGAGCTCAGTCGGTGGTATAAGTTTTAATCAACTGTGATGACTATACTAAATTACTGATAATTTTTAAACAAGAAGCACGCCTATCAGTTACACCGATTATATGTTCGGAGG